TTAGTTAAGTAATGAGCGGGTGTGTTTAATTTCTGGGAGTGAGTGTGTAATTTTTAAGTGAGGTGGGGTTCGATTCCCCAGCGAGTTTGGCGTCTGGTGACCCTCGTTTATGGTGGTCCCCATCCCTAAGGCATTGCACGCCAGCCAATGGGTTGGGATTAGACATGTAGGTCGGCGGGATTGCACCTCCCTTCATCGGGGCCCGGCCGTTCACCTTAAACATATAAAAAAAACATTCCGTGATACATGATCTATATTAACTAACTTTTACAAATATTTCACCCTCAGGGTAAACGTTTACCTGGACATTTCTGCGAGTTACAACTTCGGCTTTCTTCAGCTGGTCCAAGTCTCGAGCAGCTTTTCCCTCCGTGTGCTGGCCAAGGATTGTCGCAATAACGAATAAAATGTTCAGTTCCTCCATCACAAGAGCGAGAGCATTCATGCAAGCGCTGCCAGGGAGAGTAAGCGCCATGAACTGGAGAAGGAGAACACAAGAAATCATGGATAAGACACCGAGAAAAACACTGCTTAACCGCAAAATGTAGAGGTATCAATATTTGAGCTTGGCAATAGCATTTGGATTCATAGCAGAATAAACCATTGAAAGGGACATAATCCCAAGTGAATTGAATGTCATTCTACCATTTTCATGTTTTTTCTGTTCTTTAACTCATTTCACTTTTTTGTCGAACGTCTACCTGGACACTTTTGTGTGTTACAAATTTGGTATTTATAACGTGGTCCCAGTCTCCTGCAGTCTCGTCCTCCGTGTGCCGGCCGAGGATTGTTGCAGTTTCTATAGAAATACTGTAGTCCACGGCCACATGAACGACTGCACCTACTCCAGGGGTGCCAGCGCGAGTAACCACCGTGAACTGAGAAAGAAGAACACGAAAAAAAATGAACATAGGAAAAAAACTAAGATAATCTTTATTTAGCAGAAAAGGCTCCAAGGATTAAGCTCAGTAATAGGTAATGAAGGTAGTATTCATAGAAAATTATAACTGTTTCATTGTTGTTATTCATGTAAGGTTTACCAGGGCAAGGCTTCGTGTTACATCTTCATGATTCTGAATCTTTTCCTAGTGGGTGGCAATTTCTCTCTCCATTAGCGGGTGGAGGATTGTTACAGTAACGAGAGCGCCATTAGATTCCTTCTCTATTAGGTCAATTATTCTTGGATCCATTTTCCTGGCCATGGCCTCTAAGAGCCCCCTACCCCATAATAGTCTTTTCTGTGCTCAGTTTCAGAGCCCGTCTTAGTCACTTCTGAGCAGATGTAACAACTTTTAACCCGAATCTTCCCATTTTTTAATCCCAACTTACCAGAATTTTTTAACCCTTTAGAATCCCAAAAATGTGTGACCCAATTCTAAAACCTCTACTGAAAATGCAACTCCATTATAGTAAATCCAGTCATGAAACGTGTCTCCATCTAGCAGCATATTGACGAATATGTTTCAAGTACTTCATCTCGGGTAACTCCACATTCAAAATGAAGAAAGAATCATGTAACTTTCATTAAATTGAATCCTTCCCTGATTGTTTCATCCTTATCGTGGGTTTATTGTCCATATTTACTATATGATATATTTACCTGGGCAGCTTTGTATGTTGCATCTTCGCTGTTGAGTAGCTTTTCCCAAGTTGCTGCAGTTTCGTCCTCCGTGTGCTGGCCGAGGATTGGTGCATGAACGATTACGACTCTGTGTTCCATTGTCACATGACTTGCTACACACACTCCAGCTGCTCCATGAAGAGTAACCTCCATGAACTGAAAGGAGACAGGTAATTGTAAGCATTATTTACTGTGAAAGAAATTGTACTCTGATTTTTACACTTCTTGCTTTACGTTTTTTGTTCTAAGTGTGTCACACCATGAAATAGTTACTTAGAAAACTCTGTAGATTGCAGCTTCGCTGCATTGTGGCTCGCCCCAATTCGCTGCAGTTACGTCCTCCGTGTGCTGGCTGAGGATTGGTGCATGAACGGTTGCGAGCCTGGGTTCCTCCGTCACATGACCTGCTACACTTATTCCAGCTACTACATGGCGAGTAACCTCCATGGTCTTGTGGGAGATGGTTGATTATGAACGAGATCCATGTTGGAACAGAAATGGAGTCAAGT